TCAATGATGGATAGTATTTCATGAAAGAACGCGATACCTTTCCGCTTCTTTTTACGTTTCGTAGTCTCTTTTTTTTCTTTTCTTTTCTTTTTTTTCATTATTATTATTGCAGTTGTTTACAGAAATATTGAAATATCTCTCAGTCTTTCTGTAAAAACTTGGCTTGGTTCAATACATTTTTTCTGACAAGCTTGGTCACCGATCGATGTACTATATATAAATTTTCACTGCGGAATCCAACCGTGATATGTTATATATCGGCATATACGGTTTTTTGGATTAGCTGAACTGTCAGTCTTAAGTAAAAATAATCCAACCGTGATATGATATATATCGACGTAAAGTCAATAAAAATAAAGCCACTGCGCACTTACCAACCAGAGCCTGCGAAATGGCAAGGCCAAGAAGGGTACTGAGGATAAAAACTGTGTAGGCGCTGATTTGACTCAGAAAAACCGCCATGTAGGCATACAAGAACTCTTTAGTGTTCACTATAGGATGACACACGATAAATGCTGATTTTGAAGCCCAACGCTATCAATGTGTCGGAACCTAGCCTATTTTAAAGGAAGAGGCACAAAATTGAGTGCGATAAAATCTCTTCAGTCAACTGAAAAGGTGTTTCAATGTATTGTACAAACGCATATTTCAAATGAAGTAATTAGTCGCGGACGCTTCATTTAAAAAACTATTTTCTGCCTGAAAGGTAAATAACAAGAATTCATTCGGGCCGTACGACTTTTCAAAGCATGTTGCAATAAGTTCTGCCGACTAGAATCAAAGAAAATTATAGAGTTGTATGTTTTGATGATAAAATCGTGACTCTTTTGACAACCGAAGCAATTTTTAACCATTTAGCTGATTCCGGAGGCATGCTTAATGAGTTTTGATGGGAGTATGTGTATCAATGAGCTTTGGCCATTTTTGTTGGACTTCTCAGATGCTTAAGAAAAATGTTAAGAAGGACAACTAAAATGAACCGATTTATACGTCAGTTAGGTAAAAGGTTTCGGGCAATTTCATGGAAATTGCAAAGACTTATACTCATGCAGATAAGATGTTGTAGTGACAATCAGCCTAACGTGTTATTTACTAAACAGTTCGCTATTTTTGCCTTTTTTTAAAATGGAATTTCTGGCGTTTGAGTGCTAACGAATAAGCCGGAAATTAAATATTTCTGCTGCACGAGAGCAACAAGACAAGGGCCTAGGCCCTTGAGTATAGATGCATTATGGATATAGTGATACGAGTATTAAAGCTTGTGGGCAATCATTCTAGGCCGACACCCTCTCAGCTATTGCAAAGTTTATTTTATTATTATTTTTTTGTGTAAGTATGCATATAGCCTAGTAGGAAGGTTACGTGAGCTTGGGCCTGGTTCCTACCCAGATTTCCTGTCTCTTTTTCCCTGCGGGGTTTTTATGGCAGGTTTTTTTCTGGCCGCCTTTCTAACCAAGATGTTTGTTAGTGGTTGCTAAGCTCTCGGTATGTCTTTTTGTCGTTTGCTTTGATAACGATTACCGAGAATGCAACGGTTTTCTATATGTGTTTCTTCATTAATGTACAGTGGTGCTCGGCCGAAAAATGCAAAATAAACCTAATGGTTCACTATTTTAGTGTCTGTTGAGTAGTGTAGCTGAAATCTGCACTTTTCAAGCAGAATGAGATAAAATATTTGAAAAAAACCTCCTATACGAATAAAGTACAAAGGTAATATTGAAACTGAAATTAATCCTGTTTAGTAGCTCCATCATTTTCACAAATACGATATTACAAGAAAAATACTGTTTGACCTGTTCCCGTTACCATCTACTAAAAAAGTCGAGTAAGCATCTTCAGTTTTTTAACAAAAACCCATTCCTCACAAAAAACTTAACTTCCGACGTGAAATTTGACGTGAAATTTGAATATCAAACTAGAAAGTAAACGTTTATCAAAGCTGGTGCGGGTTCAAATTTTTTTTTTTTCGTGATTACCAGCTGTGCAACGCAGATTGATTGAGAGAAGATCGTTAACGTATTGTATCATCATTCGTCTGTTTTTAAAACCTCATATGTTAAACTCGTGTTACTGAAGCCCTTTGTTAGCAGGTCCTCTTCCAAGTATGACTGTTGGCTGTGATTTTCATTCATGGCTAATATTTTTGGCGTCAGTCGGCTGGGAATTAACGGATATGAAAACAATAAAAATTCATTCTGGCTTGTAAAAGCGCTCTACAATGTGACTCGACAAATGCCCGGCCTTTGGTTAAAGGTTTTGCATATTTCTCTGGGGGTAAGAGAAGAAGGCAGGTGTTTTTTATTTTACTGAGGCATCTTTTAAGGTTTCTCACAAAGAGGTGTTTATCAGGGTATACACATATATTACCTAACCCAACTTAAATATAGTTGTAAAGATCAAACGTGAAAAATTTAAGGTTTGAATGATATTTCAAATACCGTTATTACTGTGGAGAAAAAATATCGCATCGTACACCAAATATAAAACAATCCTCTTTTTTCAACGGTATTTCAGTTAGCCTTAGAAAACCAAATCTAGGATGGTAGAGGAGTGACCAGTAACGCTAAACTAATCATGATAAGTTCCACTCCGCACATCATGATCATGATCATGATTTCTCTACCTGACATCATGATTTCTCTACCAAGAAGGTGTTTTTCGCAAAAATTATTTAAAAAAACTGGTACCTGGCTGCTATCAAAACAGAATTTTGAGACTGATAAATAAAGCTCTATTTTAGACTGGAGTCTTTTGAGTTTAAAATGAATGGCTTTTCACATGCAGCATTTCGAGTTTGATCGCGCAAACGGACTCTGTGCAACCAAAGGTTGTACGTTTGTGTATCTTACTATACGCGTCTCCCTCTCTTAGCAAAACCATCATTTTCAGTCTTGACTTTGGCGTCAAGACGGCACCGAAATGTTGATTTTTTTTTAACACAAGTTTTTCTCTAACTTTTGTATCGATACAGAGTTCGCAATCATGAAAAATCATGACCAATTGTTTGAACCCGTCCTTATTATTTGTCGGCCTGACACAAGTTTTCAAAACAGTTTAGAAGGCACACTAGTAGGTTCATACAATATCACTGTAAGCATTTTTCACATATTAACATGACTCTAGTCATTGCCATTATAACTACAGCAGGTTTTATAGACATCCTATTTATCCCCAACTGAGAGTCTCACCCAAACTTCTTGGAAATGGACGAAAGTAAGAGCAAATCGTAAATTCTTACACGAACACATAGCCGTAGTCCGCATTGCGCTAGAACACTTTACTGAGATTGTGATTAAAATTTCAAAGTTCCCTGCTGAGTTCAATCTCCTCTTCGATCGTCAATGAATAATACAAAAGAACCCTACCAGTGACAATCAAGCCCAACAGCCAGTTTCATGTTGAGTACCTCAATGACGTCACACTAGCTCAATTGAACTTGTGCATAGCTAATAGCACGCTGACTGATTGCTGACAGACTGGTGATCTGCGAGTCAAGAGATGAAATGGGTGTAAATCTTCCCTATCAAACATACACTGAACCAGTACGTATAGACAATGTAAAGCACAACATCATCTCTACGAGGAGAGCTCACAATTTCACAATTTGACTCGACAGGTGTTAAAAACTCAATATGAAGAATAGGAAATTTAAAAATGTCAATATCTACTATTAATAAAGTAGTTGGAGTTCATGGACAATAACACCATTGGCCTACTGTAAACCAATGACCGCATTTTCGGAATTATCACTAATTCGAGAAGTGAACTTCATAAAATTTCCTACTCTATGATCTTCAGTAATGAACTATGGATATCGATGTCATTTACGTACTTCTGATTTTGTCGTAAATCACTCTTTCAACTTGTTTATAAATAAATGAAAAATCCAAATTAGCGACTAGTTATTGTACATTATCAGCAATGATTAAGCTGAGGATAAGGTATCAGACAAAATATGTTAGACAGGTTCAGACATTACAATGTTATTGCAAAATGGTAAACTCTACCCGAAAAATAAAGTTTTAGAACTCTCACGCTTTAACTCTATATACAAATTCATTCCATGTATTTGTTTTCTTTACAAACCAAAACCCAGCGTGCTGAATAAAAACGCATGCAGAAAACTCAATCAGAGATGTCAAATCCCGCGGAGAAAGTTGAAACCACTTTAAACCACATGGTCAATTCGTTTCATGAAAAAAACTGTTTTCATTTCAAGTTGAAACTCATTTAATTGCTTAATTAAGTGACGAAAACGTTCCCAAATATGCTCTCTGGTTGTCTTAGGAGTTTTTGGAATAAAAAATATGTTTCTTTTCACATAGCATCTGCGCATGAATAAAGTAAGGGTACTGTGTGTCCACATTTTCCCGCTCTGTCAAAAAATTGTTTATACCCGTCTTTAAGCGCCGTTTTCAGAATGATACGAAGTATTGTTAGAGTTTCTGGTCATTTTCTACTTAGTCAGAAAAGATGAAAAACTAGTTGTCAACTGGAAAGATATATTTGTTCACTGAGTCTACAAAAGAATAGATAGCCAATTAATGGTACAAAGAGAGACCCGCCGTTTCCAAATTACAAAAAAAAATTGTTGACAAATCGATTCAAAGGTACCTACTAATTAAATTTTTTTTTTTTTTAATTCTCTTTTAAAATTATTGAGACCAAGGTATTTTGTTTTGGAAAATTTTCCAGTTCTCTTGATCGCTCAGGTTTGATAAACTAGAATCAATTTTTTTTTTAAGTTCCACCAGCGAGCATGGCGTTCAAAATTATTTTTAAAAAAACGCGAAGTTTTCTAGCGTCATAATAATATAAACCTAACCTATTCATTCCTCATACCACCCTTGGTAACTCAAAACTAAACAAATCCAGAATTTTTCTGTTTTCTTTTCAACTGTAATTGGCTGTATGAAAAATTAATGAATCGATTATGTCACCTAATTAAGTAATTCTTCCCTCACTTGATAATAAGCTCATTAATACGAGCACGTAGTCCATAAAAACATTTGAACAAGTTACCCATTCAAAGATTCGGTCTCGGCGCGTCTAAACGGAGCTTACGGCATAAAACAACTTTTTTCAGGGTGTTAGACGGGGTTACAATGGTTTTGAAGCTTGGTTTCATTCTTCTCTTTGCTGGGTTGGTCGGGATTCTCGAGGTTCAAGCTGCCTCGGTTGCCATAAAGAATGATATGTGGAATAGCCTGCGTCAAGGTGGGTTGAGAGTCCGTATCAGTTTTGATGTAGTTGTGATAACGCTTTTTCACATTACAAGGATTCGAAATGTCTCTTTAAAGTGAATGCGATAGCTCGTAAGTTATTTGATTTACCGGTTTTAGAGAAATATTGTTCCTCTTTCCTCGTTCGTCCTTGATCTCCAACTTGCCTTCATTTTTCTCCCTCGCAACTTGACTAAATCGCGGCGCCGACAATTTTTTTCTACCGTGTCCCGAAGTCACAGACATTCCAAAGATTTATAAGTTAGTAACCAATTAAATTTGAAAATTGAATTGTAGATCAGAAACGGTAATTATATGGTTGGATGATTGAGGAAATTTGGCATAGCTATAGTCGATGTTTGTAGAAACTGCCCATACTCGCAGTGCCTATTTATACCCAATGCGGAACAAGTGGAAAAGCTAGCGTAATACCTACCGTAAAAAGCGTCCAGATCACGAGAGAGAAATAAGAAAGAAATAAGTATTTTTGTCCCTTCACACTTCAGCTTCTATAAAATAGGATATGAAAAAATAAGAAGCTATCAAAAGTTTAGAACTGGAGTGCTTACCTGCCAGTCCACAAGGGATATACTTATAGCTATAGAAAAAGAAAACAACAATGTTATCATCTGTTTGTGTTCCCAGCTGATCAAGACAAGAGGAACATAGAAGGAGACAGTCTTGAAACGGAAAATCTACCGACAGGTCATATAATTATTATGATTGTTCATTAGTATTTCCCTGACCTTTAATTTTGCTTTTTCAAAAAATCCGCATTTACGGCATTGCGTTTGGTGAAATTAGCCATTCTCCGAAAAAGTCTGTAACAATGGATGATTTCTGGACCCGACTTTATACTTGAACGTTTTTGATATCCTGCCTGTATCCAGAGAAAATGATTGGAGAATGCCACTAGAATACATAGCCAACAAGAAGATAACACGTCATGAACAACAAACTAAGGGACCCAATGTCAATTTATAGAGGTCCCTTCTTAATTATTCCTCTCTCCTAACAAAAAAAAAAACGATAAGGTACAGTGACAATCAGGTAAATGCTCGAATTCATTCTAATCTTGAATCACGGTTTACAGATGAAGATTTTGGTTATGAAGACATTGACTCGGATGCCGCTGAGGATGCTGGTCACTACAGTTATGCTCTCCTGAGAAGGGCAGGTAGCTACTACCTTGTGTCATAAGACCGAAAAAATAGCTTGCAATAGCCAATCGCAAATAATGTAGAAAATTTATAAACTTTTGATAACTTACGGTTGTCACGCTTACTCTGACTGGAAGATTGTCACTACTGTTCAATGATAGGCAAACAGGAAGCTAACAGTACGGTAATAATGCTAATTCAAGCCTTACACATATTTCGTCACTCCTTTTTCGTGATAATACAAACAGCAAAATGGAAATATGGCTCACTGAGTAAACTTCGAGAAATATTACGTTTGAATCTAAGGACATAAACAATTTAACACCCACATCACAAATAATATACGAAATGAAGAGGTCATGATATTTTATTTACGGATGATCAGTGACAAATTGGAACTTCTTATCAATTTGTTACATGCTTCAGTTTGTGGTGACGCTTTCAAGGGATTGTGCCAAATGGTTCGAAAAAACAACCAGTGTAACAAAGGGAGGAACATGAGATTCGCCAGGAAGTTTTGCCGCAGCAGTTGCCCAGAATATTGTATCTAATGCAGTAAGTAATGAGAAAACTTATTACCTGTTAGGAATGGGCCGGAAACGATCTTATGGATGCGAAGCCATTTACTATGGTTTACAACTTGGGGTGTCATTTATTTTGTTTTTGCATCGCCCTTTGTGGTATATCTAAAGGTGGTTTATATAAAGAGTGGTTTTCGACCAGGCAGCCTGTCTCTGAAAGACTCTTTATGACATATCTACCTGGTAATTCCACACACAGATGTGAGATGTATTAGATGGGTAGATCATAACGCCGGAGACAAAATTGAAACGCCGAACCCTCCATGGGCTAAGAGGACAGGGTGGGATGAGTCCCTAATATAAGCTCTTATGCATATGGGTTCGGACGCTCTTGATACGAAATTAAATTGAGAGGAGATTTTTAAAGTTTGGTTGTAAAGGCGAGAAAGGCCATTGAAACTATGCAGAATCTGGGCTTCGGCGTTTTAAATGAAAACAACAAAAAAGGCAAAACTGAAAGAAGGTGGAGACACAAAACTCATTGTTACTCAGAGTTATCATGGAGAGCTTTCTGCGCAATTTTAGTTCTAACCAGGCGTATGGTTTTCTTTCCTTTTCAGACCTAATTGAAGTTACCCAGTCTTGAATATTTGACCCGCGACAAGGATAAAATCAAAATAACTATGTAACTCCCGCTTGTGAACCAAACTTAAATCTTAAACTTAATTCTTTACGTGCAAGGAGATCACCTGTTCCTAGTCACTGCAAAACTTCATGAAATATTTATTTTTACTGGTTTTGGTTACCCGGCCTAGAAGAATTCACTAAGCTCGGTAGCCAGCGCCGGACTAGAGAGAGCGGTGGAGATCCAGTTAAAAATTGACAGAAATGCCAGTGTATGTTGAGAAACAGTGATAGCAAATTTGTATAATGTGACATGGCTCCTTACAAGGGATAAGTAACCAGGAAAAGTAAAACTACTCAATCTACGAATAAAAATGAGTCTTCTTCGTAATCCAAGTTGTTAACGTGGCTCTATCAATCAGGTCTCAGTAGCTTTTTTGATTTCCCATACTAGCTGATCGTGCAACCCATAAAGTATTAAGTAATTGCTGATTGCTTTACCTCCGATTTATTTCATTAGGACTATTAAATTTCTTGATTTTCGAAATGATAAATACTTGACCGCTAATGAGCAATAAGTTCCATGAAATAATGGTAGCGATGTTTTTAGTCAAGGAGACTAAACAGCACTTGGAAACGATACTATCTGTCACCTATGAACTTCCTTTAACTTTATCAAATGTCCTTATAACTGCTGTTTTGGATATGCTGAAATCAAATAAAGACTGGGCTGACAACAAA